AAACCAGCCGGCCCCCACCCGTGCACCAGGCCTCTATCCTATATAGTAAAAGGGTAATATGCAAACTGACCCTAACAGCAGAAGGACTGGGAATGACTGGTCACTATGACACACACTGACCACCAGGGGGCAGACGCTCAATGCAGGAGCTGCCCCCTGGTGGTCAGTGCTCTCCCACGGGAGGGGGGAGGGGGGTCCCACTCAGTCATAAGCCAGGCTGATGACTGACATGCTCAGTAGTGGTGGCGGGAGCCTCTCCTACCTCCGTGGCAGCGCTAAGGATGTCCAACTGCGGCTTAGGCCCACACTGCTAAAGGGTGCAGGCCGGGGTGATGGACCCCCACCCCCACCCCCCCCACCGAGTGCACGAATGTTGTGCACTGGGCCTCTAGTTTTATATAAAGGTGTAGAAACACTAAGTAACTGCCCCAGCTCGCATAGCTGGAGAGTGGTAAATCCGAGATTCAGCAGAGTTGGTCTGACTCCAAATGATAAGATAAAGCGCAGGTAGGTACCTCCTGCTTCAGCAGGGGCTTGTGGAAAACCACACATTCAATCAGCCTCCGATGCATTCTGATCTGAGGAGCCTGCCGCTGCTTGCGCTGCTCTTCGGGTTCAGGAAGCCAGCAGCACCAGGCTCCCGTTCCTTCCCCCACAGCAGGAACCAAATCCTCACATCATTAAACACTCTGCTCAGAAGATAAAGCTGTTGGACAACAGACAAGATGTTTTAAGCTTTTGGGAAAATAATTAAAGATCCTCAGGGTCACAAAAAAACGGATTCTAGTTAACAGTGTTGACAATTTCCATACCAAGATTAACTTTGACACAGTTTCCAGTTCCACCTGGCCCCCTTTGGTCAGCGACCACGTCTCAGCAGAAGTGCCATGGGTGACCCTCAGAGCCCAGCGTGAGCCCAGCACTGGCTTCTCCCCGACAGGGAGAGCGGGAGAGCGACAGAAGCCAATCCAGAGCAGCACAAAGGGAGCCTTCACTCTCTCGCGCTCCTCCCACCCTCTGCCAACAGGGAAAACAAGGCACTCGGGCTCCGTGGAGAGAAAACCTAGAGGAGACCAGCAGGTGCCACACTTGAGACAATGAGCTTTACATTTCCAGAGCTAGCTCGTTCCAGTCCAAACAACAGCCAACTCAGAGGCTGGTGGACACCCCCTGAGAAATAAATCCGGGCGAGGCAATCAAAGAGGAAGCAGGTAACCCTGGAAATGCAAGGCTGCAAGAGGGCAAGGAGCGGTGGCACCCTCCCTCCAGTCCTAGCAGCCAGGGGCCAGAGAGGTGCAGCCTCCCTGGGGTTCCGATCTCTCAACACCTCCTCCATGGGCAGCAAACAGACTGAGGAACTCACATCACTACTCAGCCTCACCTCGCTTTCCTTTCTACGATTCTGGATACATCCCCCACCCCATTTGAAAAAGAAAGTTTCAAACAACTGGTTGTTATTTTTTCAAATAACCCTTCTTATTCAACTGGATGATTCAGTTGTTTTTAGCGATTTTATAAAATACCAACGTGTCTATGTGTGCTTTGCTTTTCTGTCTTTATTTTCCACAGGGTTTGAGTTTGGTTTTTGTGGGGGTTTTTAATGTGTTCCCTTACTTGTGGGTATTCTGGGAAAGTTTCAAACAACTGGTTGTTATTTTTTCAAATAATCCTTCTTATTCAACTGGATGATTCAGTTGTTTTTAGGGATTTTATGTGTGCTTTGTTTTTCTGTCTTTATTTCCCACAGGGTTTGAGTTTGGTTTTGTGGGGGTTTTAATGTGTTCCCTTACTGGTGGATATTGTGCGACACTTACATGGAAGGCCAGGATTGCTAAAATGAACCCCTAACACAACGGACCCAGCTTTGGCTCTGCATCCTCAGAGCCCAAGAGAGAGCCTTCCGGACCTCTTGAGAATGAGCCAGTGTGGCAGTCAGTTGAGCACAGTCCTATGCACTGAGACGTCACCGGTTGGATTCCTGGTCAAAGCACATGCCCAGGGTTTCAGGCTGCATCTCCTGGGGGCGGGGAGTGCAGGAGGCAGCTGATCGATGTGTTTCTCTCTCTCTCTCTCTCTCTCTCTCTCTCTCTCTCTCTCTCTCTCTTTCTCCCCCTCTACCTTCCTCTCTCTCTAAATCAATAAAAACATATTTTTTAAAAGTACCCTTGTGAGTTAGATGAAGCACTTGGTGCTGACTGTATGTTTTATGTGTCACTCCCATACATTCTTTGTGGCTGCAACCAAAATGTCCATGCCCAGATTCTTCTCTGGAAATCACAGTGGTATTCTGGTCTTTTCACTCCTGTTAACACACACACACACACACACACACACACACACACACACACCTCCTCGGAATTCTCCGTGGCTTCACAAGCCCCTGAAAACCTCCATCCCTTTGCCATCTTTCCATCTGTGTTTCTCTCTCTCTCTCTCTCTCTCTCTCTCTCTCTCTCTCCCTCACTCTACCTTCCTCTCTCTCTAAATCAATAAAAAAATATTTTTTAAAAGTACCCCTGTGAGTTAGATGAAGCACTTGGTGCTGATTGTATGTTTGATGTGTCACTCCCACACACATTCTTTGTGGCTACAACCAAAATGTCCATGCCCAGATTCTCCTCTGAAAATCACAGTGGTATTCTGGTCTTTTCACTCCTGTTAACACACACACACACACACCACACACACACACACACACACACACACACCTCCTCAGAATTCTCCGTGGCTTCACAAGCCCCTGAAAACCTCCATCCCTTTGCCATCTTGTGAAGAGGTGCCCCTGCCTCTCCTGTCCCCTCATCTCACCGGTGTCACTGTGGGTGACCATCACTAAGTGGCAATGACCCAGACAGAACCTTGTTCTCTCACCCTTACCCCTCAAGCACATAGTCTGATACCAGTTTGGGGACAGGAATTCCTTGTCCAAGGAGACCTTGACTGTATATCTAACCCATAAGCACACCAGTTTCTCCTCAATGATGTATCAGTCCACTTTACAAGAGTTCTTAAAATTCATGTCTTCTATTAGGATTTAGAATGTGTTAATGAAATTAGCATTCCAGGAAAAAATAGAGAGAAATGAAATCACTGGAGAGAATGGAGCTAGAAAGACCCTCCCTATGTGCTTAAGTCAAGCCCTCTGTGTGTGGGAGTAATCAGCAAAGCTGAACAAGCACAGGCCATTTCCTGGGCGAGGATTGTCCCTCCCTCCAATCCACAAGCACCTTCTCTCCAACTCTCAAAACCTAACTTCCTCTACTCCAGGATACCCTCTGGTCTGGCTTAGGTGTCTTCCAATGTGTGTGCACAACGTGTGCAGCTCTTTAAGATGAGCACATGCCACACTCTATCAAGATGTCTGGGTACTCTCAAAGCAGAGACTGATATTGTATCCAATAAGCCCCAGTGTCTACAGTGGTGCTTGGCACTCAGCGGGTGCTCGATGAATAAAAGATTGAATTATCACCTAGTGATCTACTACTCTCGACATCTTACTTTTCTTTTTCTTTTAAATATATTTTTATTGATTTCAGAGAGGAAGGAAAAGGGAGAGAAAGATAGAAACATCAATGATGAGAGAGAATCATTGATTGGCCACCGCCAGCATGCCCCCACTGGGGATCGAACCTGCAACCCAGACATGTGCCCTTGACCGGAATCGAACCAGGGACCCTTCAGTCCACAGGTTGACACTCTATTCACTGAGCCAAACCAGCGAGGGCAACATCTTACTTTTCTATCGCTCTCCTCTTTCTCTATTCTTTCTTTGTACATTAACTGAAGTTCTCAATCTTAACTCCAGGTAAGAGTCACCTTACAGGTAGTTAGGATTTCATAAAATATCTTTGTCTGGCTTTATACCCAGAAATTCTGAGTCAACGAACCTGCCGTGGGACCTGGGCACAGGTATTTTCAAAAAGGAATTCCCTTGTGAAGTCTGACTGAAGAGCCACTGTGTAACTCTTTTCTGTCCTCTGGTCTTTTCCTTAGGTATCTCCTGCCCTTAAAATCCTTTTTTGCCTTTTGTTTGTTAACTTATGTTCATGTTCAGTGGCCTCTGCCTCTCCCCCCTCCCACCCTCACCGTAGATAGAACTTATCCCCATGAAACATAAAGAAATACACATTGAGGGGGTTCTATTCCACAGAGGAGTCATTGGCTTTCTTTCCTGCACCTCAAACTGGATGAAGCAACAGGAAGATCTGACACTCATCACGTCTCCTCGGAGTTGGGTGCCATAGAGAAAGCTGTCTTACCCAGCAGAATGAGCAGAACCCCAGCCAGCTGGGCCCGCCTGTACTTGGCCACGCCAGGCTCATGGCCCATGCGGATGCAGGGGAGAACTGTCAGCAGCAGGAGAATGGCCGGCAGGCCCAGGACTGAGGCTGCGATCATCAGGGCTCGGCAGGCCTGCACGTAGCCTACAAGCAAGAGAGCAGACAGGGCGGTTAGACCAAGGGAGCCCTTGGATCCTGAATCCTGCCTCTCGGGAATTCGGCACCACTTGCCTTCCTCCCTCTTGCCCATTCCAGGACTTAGAAGGTGTTACATGTTGTCCATGACCACATCACATGTTAACTTTTAAAGTGATTCGATGACCAAAAAAAGGGAGGTTGAGGGCTGGAGAGACTGAATGGGATCCCAGGTTTAGGCCACTTGTCCAAGCTTCCAGGATGAAGGGGCCCAGAGTCCAATTGTTTTATCACCTTGTGAACGACTCCGAATAAAACTCAAATCTTCCAAAAAGCCTTCTGTGAGGGATGGGCCATTGGTTCCAGTGTCTTGTTGATACACTCAACCTGTATGACCTTGGGCAAGTTGCTGTGTCCTCATTTATAGAGCGAAAATAATAATAGTACCTACATTTCTCTAAAAGAGTTCAACTAAGATTAAGTTAGTTATTCATGCGGTGCTTAGAACAGTGCCTAGCACATGCTAAGTGAGCTAAAAAAGGTTAGCTATGATTAATTAGTGTTATTACTCCATTATCATTGCTTTAAAGGCATCCCTCCAGACCCAAGGATTCCTAGAGAGCAGACACCTGGAGTTAACACAGTGCCCACAATAGATGATGTAAACATACAGCTATAAATGAAAGAATACCTGAGTTGAATAATAAGAGAGGAGCAAAACTACCAGGGCTTTATACTGTCATATAAAATGCCAGGTAACAACTTTATTAAGAAACAGATTACAATCTGTGCAATATTCTTGTAAAATAGGTCTGACAAGATACTGGAAAAAGCTGACAAACTTAAATATATTGTTTCTCATTAAGACACTCTCCCTCCTTAAAAAAAAAAAAAAGTATTCATTACTCTCTTTTTGGCTCAGAGCAAACTGGAGCTAGTGGCATGGCCTCAGAGAGGCAGAGTTAATGACAAAGTCAAATAGCGAGCCCCAACTTCCGCCTCACTTGCCCGGACCCTCGGACCAAATCTGGCCACCTGCCCTGTGCCCCAAGATGCAACTGCAACACTGTCTCTTTGCAGGATATGCCCTGCCAGAATTCAGACTCCACAGGGTACACTTCGGACCGTTGTCCATCCCAGCTTCTTATGAATTAAAGGTAACCAATAAACCAAATATCTATTGTCTTGAACATCCCCAGAGAGGACCCACAGGAAGTTTGAGGCAGGACCTCTGACCACAGCCCTATGCCCCTCTCCCCCCAGCTTGTAGGAGAGCCGGGGCTGACACAATGGAGACATTCGGCTAGAAACTGAGGTTCTGAAATTCATGACGCAGGCTGTCTGCATGCTAGGTGTCAAGGCCATGTCTGGAAATCAAAGATGGAGACTGAGCTCTGTCCCTGTCCCCACCCAAAGTACAAGGGACAGGGAAAGCAGGGAGGATGGAGCCCTCCCTAAAATGAACTCCCCTCTGTTAGAGGGTCTATGTTCTTTGAAAATAAACCACTCAGCACTGACTGTTAGTAAACTGAACTTCAGGGAAAGGAAGCAGGGAATAATTTTATGCTTCAAAGGATCCTACAAATATCTTGCCCAGCTGTTAACCAAAAAATTATAGCTACCTTTTATGGAGCATCTACTCTATCAAAAAAGTTTTACATTTCTCACCTCTTTTAATCCCCAAAGCAACCCTGAAAGATAGGGGGTTGGTTTGATTTTAATTTTTAAAAGAAGACAACTGGGATTCTCAGAGGTTAGTCACTTGTTCAAATCACCCAGACTGTGAGCACGGGATCCAGCACAGGATCGGAATATGACCAAGGTCGACCTACACCAGCAGTAAGTGGACCGGGAACTCTGTCATTCCAAAAGCCCAAAATGGAGAAAAGGACAGTGAATGGAGGGCTGGCGTGCATTGTGCATGCCTGCTGCGTGCCAGGGCAATGCTGGTTCCAGAAGGGGATGCAAAGAAAGTAGGAGGTCGCTTTTATCTTCAGGAATTCCAAATGCAGTAGGAGACAGGGACTTAGGAACATGAGCAAAAATCAAGTCAAAATGTGCCGGGATGGGGTAAGAACCAAAAACCAGAGCAGCAAGGAGGAAGGGGGGGGCGGTTGATTCCGACGACAAGGACTAATATAGGAGGCACTTAAGGGAGGCTTCAAGGGTCATGAGAAAGGCTCATCCAAGAGGAAACACACACACACACACACACACACACACACACACACACACACACACACGCACGCACCGGCTCCCAGACTGGCGGCCGTGGGCCGATTATTTCGCTTGCTAAGGACATTGGGATATGCCATTTGCCTTTGAATGAGCACGAGGCCTGCGGGACTTCAGACAATCCTGTTCTATTGGCCAGGGCCCATACACCCGCCGGGCAGGACAGAGATTCAGAGCAAATCCCAGAAGGGGCGCCCGTGACCTCGCCAATCACCCAGCTGGCTCAGGGTTTAAATCTGAATTGGAACTGTTGCCCGGACTTTGCCAACCAGGCTGCCAGTGGCGATGGGACCCCTGGCCGGCAGGGACCCCAGGCTTGCATCACTCCCTCCTCTCCCCGTTCCGAGACCCCGCTGGCAGGGAGGGGGCGACCCAGGGCGGCGGGCTTCGCCGGGAGGGAGCACAGTGGCCCTCCAGGGTCAGGTGAGACGGGCTCCGGGGCCTGCGGGAACCGACCTAGCGAAGCCAGTGGCCCTAAGTTGCCAGAGCGCGTCGCCCGTCCCAGGAGGACAGGGAAACTCGCTAGAATGGCTGCGTGTCTCTCTCTCTCTCCATCTCGCCTCTGCGGATAGAATCTAACGGGAAAGCAGGGCCCCTGGGGAGGAGGCCTGGCCGGGAAGTGAAGCACTGCTGCTCAGTCGACAGTGGGAGCGTGGGGCGGGCGAGGAGGCGGTAATGAACCTGGGCTCAGTTTCTACTCTGTGTCTCTGTCTCAGGCCATTAACTTCCCAGGGGGACTCGGCCAGTGGCCACCCCTCTCTTCCCCAAATCCAGAGACGAGACCTGAGGCTGAGAGGTTAAGTTCGCCGCTGCCTGTTCCACACTACAGCAAGGTGGGACTCAAGGTGTCAAAATAGGCCCAATAGGCTTGAAGCCCTCGAAATGTTTTGTCTAGCGCCCCCCCCCCCAGTCTGCCCAGGAGGTGAGGGTTTGGGGCCAGCCACTCGCAAGGCGGGGGTCCTTACCCGGCAGGATGAGGATGTCCACCAGGGGCTTGCAGTGGTACAGCCCCGTGGCCATGACGCAGTCCGCCCACAGCCCCTTGGAGCCCAGCTCGTCCAGCTTGCGGCACGTCGGGATGGTGTAGCCGCAAGTCACCACCCAGTCATTGGTGGACGTGGTGACGATGATCCCGATCCAACCCACGAAGCTCGTGACGAAGCCCACAACCTGCAGGCACGTGGCCACCATCGCAGCCACCCCGGCGTCCCCGCGCCTCTCCCCT